TAAAGGAGAGGCAAGAGATTTTGCCGTCAATCGATTTTTTGGTGTCAAAGACCCACAAAACATTGATTCTGACAACACAATACGTTAAGAAGTAATTTACTATAGACAGGAAAATATTTATCAACTTTTTCGTTTTTAAGGCCAGGAATGAAGAGTTTTTCTGTCGAAAATTCGCCATTTTCCGGCGCACTCTCTCTTGTTACGAAGAGAGGGAAATTAAAAATATTAGTCATTTTCACGTAATCTTAGTGAAATATGGCCAATATTAAAAACAAGATTCTCACGAGAACGGCTACAAATATTTTCTTTACGAATAATGCCAAATGCCCCCAAACCCAAAATAAACACGGGGAGTGATGGCTCAGGGCATCAACTGATGTCGCAGCAATACCTCTGACTGGGAGGTCATAGGTTACAGTCCCGTCGGTGGTAGGATTTCAGACACTAACTACATAGCTAGATCGAGTTGGAGAAGAATTCTAACGGCCGGCTCAGACTGTCCTGAAACGGTAGTTTTCCGTGGTGTCACCAGCCGAATGCCGGAGCAGTACCCTACCAAATGGGCCACGAACCGCACACGATCTTTCCTACCTCTTCCTTGTTCTATCCTCACATACATGCACTACACTACCACACACGCCGGGAGACTGGTCGGGAGCATAGAGCTTGTCCCGGCCGGGGCAGTGTCCCGCTGGAGGGAGATACCTATTTGGGGAAAACCCCGCTAGCCGACGGTAGGTCGGCGCCGAATCTCGCCATACGGCGAAGAAGTCCAACGCCACTTCCCGAGTAAAACGTACTACTTACGAGACAAAAGGCCTTAGTAGTTGACGTGCCCAGAATCACTATCAATCAACCGACATGAATGCCTTTTGACGTAATATTTTCATTTTGCAAAAATTACACAAACGTAATTATTTTTAAATATCTCTTACATTAATATTTACATTATGGGCGTTTTTATACATTACTGCTTTTGTGAGTGCAAGCACTTAAAATAGTTTCTTATTAAGTTTCTTCAAAACTCAAGTTTTTTTTTTTGTTGAAATGAACTCACAATTGTTTATTTTGAGAAAAACTTGAAACAACATTTTCTCAAAAAACCACTACCAATTTTTCAATGAAAAATACCTTTAATGAGTGAAAATGGTTTTGGAAGGTAAGTCATATATCTACTATTAAAGTATCGAAATATTGAAAATATGTACGTGTTTCTATGCTAAAACGTTGTTTTCTCCTAGAGTTAGCTCATTTTGAAAAATAGTGCTTGTTATTTATGTCGGTAAACACTCATGTAGCTCCTTAACAACCAACCATTTAAACTATTAAAAATATTTTAAGAGACTCTCCGATCTTGATTTTAACCAGTGCTCATGAATCTTTGGATAAATATGACCCTTTTGTCCCATTTCGATCTCATGTCCCCCAGTTTCAGTAATCCACTAGTCCCCTTTCCCGTTTGCCCCTTGGCTCATTTTGTCCGTTTGTCCAATTTTGCTCTGACAACCGCCTTGTCCCGATTTGTACCCCTGGTGGTTATTTATTTGCTGAAGAAAATAGAAAACTAACTAGTAGGGGAGTTTAAGCCATTCTGGAACAATACTAGTTTAAAATTATGTTATAGTTAACAAGGGAAAAATCGTAACATTATTTTCTTAGCCTAGTTCTTAAGTATATTAGAATGTGAACAATTTTCCTCAAGATTTCTTTAAATGTACTCTAATAATACCCACAAACAAGTTGTCTTCTATGGCACAAAGTGCTCATGTATTAAAAAAAATATCTTACAATCTTATAAATTTTTGTTTTTTCTTACAAGAGGAAAATAAGTTGATTAATTCGTATTAACCCACGAGTGCTCGCATAAGATCTGCAAGATCAAAGCCACAGAAAGCTTATGAACTCAATTATTGTAATGCATTAGTCGTCTGACATTTCGTGTATTCCTTCATTATACTTTTCTGAGATTGCCTGGCCTTTTATTTTTATCCTTTCAATAAATCATTTCCCATGAGCATGTTGAAACTTGAGCTCTGCACTGCGCCATATATGTTGGGCGCAATAGCGCCAGTGCATTGTTGGCTCCTGGCCACAGTGGGACGTAGCAGTAGTATTTTCGGGCATGTGTATGGCAAGAGCCTATTTAAAAATTGGAATAATTTGCCTTATGTATAAGGGACAGTCACAATTTCTTTCCAAAGAGAAAAAAGATGTGCAGGAGACGTTTGTAGGGAAATGAAAAAAATGCGAACCTTGCAAATGGAAAAGAGACAAAGAGTTTTGAAAAACTTTTATAAAAAAGTAAAATAGATATTTGTTTAGAACATGACAAAATAATTTCTGGAAATTTAATTTAATATTGTTTAATAGGATAATAAGATCTTTAATGATTTTTGCGTGCACTTTGTCAATTTTTACCTTTCTCACCACAAATGTTCAGACAAGAATTCTGTGGAGTAAGATTCATTAACAATTACATTGGGGACATGTACATGTAAAAAATACATATTTTAGTAAATGGACCTTCAGATCATTTGCGTTCTAACAAAATTGCAGCTATTTCTGAGAGATACATTGCGAGCACTGGCGTAAGTCTATCTATTGTGAGTACTTCAGGTTAAGGAAATAGTTTGATACTGAATGTTTCTTTATATAATTCTGTATTTTTAAAATATGAAAAATCTGGTTGCTACAACGGCATGTATTTTCCTGTCTTGGTCATACTTACATAATACACAATACACTAATTCAGGGCGATTTTTATTTCAAAATATTGAATTTTCAAAAACTGCACATATTACACACAATGACAAACATTTCATGTCATTAGTATTTACAATAAAAGTGTATTCTATAATTTAATGCAGTTTTAGACAAGAATGCTTCAATTTGTCTTTTATGAAGTTTCTGAAAATCTCAAAAGCTTTTCAATGTACTTTACCTGAAAATGGTGTATTTTCAGAACTGTTCACATGACGTTTTAGCAAAAACAGCACTCAAATTTCTTCAAAAAATCCTCCATTACAAAAGGTTCTGATCTTCTGATATCCTTAAAGCCTTATTTTACTGAAACTACCAGAAGAATGAAAACGCGAGAAAACTAAAAAACAATTACATTGATACACTTTCATAAAACCAAATATTACAATACTAGTGGCCTACAATAGCAAAAATGCTACTGAACTAAATCACACAAAATATTTTGTCAAAAAGTAGCATACACACTGCTCAAAAATGCCAATTATAATACTCTCATACCACACTGCAATGAATTAAATATTTTAACAAAAAAAATCTTTACAAATACTGCAATAACATAGTACAGCATTATACAGTATTACAGTTTGTTACATACCACGAATATGAAAGAAGTTGCTGTTTCATTATGCATCAGGTGAATAGAAAATATATAATGGTGAGCTGCCTCTTCCTTGGAGATTTGCTATTGCATGATGTTAATCTGTCACAAGCAGTGATGCATTGCGAGAGAGAATTCAGTCTGTACATGCAATATGAGAGTATGCAGAATAACACAATCAAATATTTGAATTACTCAGTCAAAATTGACACGGTTCTGTTGTTCTTGGATTTTTAGGGAGATCTTAGGTATAAAACAAAATCACAATCTATCACATGGTTGGAGGCTGCATATTCTCTTTCAGTTTCAGAATGAACTGGAAATTAGTAATTCACATAAATATTACAGGGACAAAAACTAAATGTGTCAATTAAGACCTGTAAATACTATATTCTCTAACCATTTAGGTAAAGTTAGTACATTTTTAGAAATTTGTTCATTAATGAGCGTGAGGATGAAAGTTTTCAAACTAAAGAAACTTCTGGGCATTGCTACTAAGGCAACAAATGCTGTTGAAGGTTCATTGGGATAAATAGATTTAGAGACACAAAGCTCATTATTTACGATGTATGCATCCAAAAGTGAATTTCACATATAGACTCTGGACAATAATTGTATAGTAGGTTGTGCTTCAAGCAGTTTGTAAAAGATATAGCTGAAACATGAAAACAACATTATTATATAACTATTATCATATTACCCAACCTTTACAATAAGAGAAAGTTTGAGACATTTTGTTCCGCAACTAGTTTATTTTTTTATTTCCTTGAACACTAAGAAAAGTATAGCAATAGAACAATTACTCAAATAAAGCAGATATTCACAGAATTTGGTGAAGAGAAAACATGAAATATTAAACCACACTCTTTCTTTCCTTCTTCATAAGAAGAATCCACTAGAATCATATATTCTCTGAATAACTGATTTTATGCTATCGACAAGTCACGCTTTCTCTTTTACCATCTTTTAATTTTCTTATATACTTTTACATTAAACGGAGATAGCTTTGCTACAAAAAAATCAACATTGAGATTTTGAGGGAAACACGTAAAATGGAAAACCTTGATTACGAAAAAGTGTTTTCTCCAAAATCTTGTATCTGTTTGTCACTGATACCAGTACCTAAATCATAAACAATATTGCCCAAGAAAGGATATTACTAGGAAGCGCATTTTTATGACCAAAACATTGCCAAAAATGATCAATAAAATGCTCTTAAAATGCCCTAAAAAGAAAGAAAAATAAAGTTAAAATGCTGATTAAAACCTTTTCAAATTATCAACTCAAGCTGTGTTACTGATGTAATCAAGGCATCTTCCTTTTGTTCAAGTGAACTCGGATCAGAAACTTTTGGTTTGGACTGTTCTTCTCAGCCGTGTTAGAACATGACATCCAAACACCGGTATAGACCTAAATCCAAATGCAGCTGGAAACCAGTTTACCTTCGAAGTAACCAACCCAATCAATGCCTGGGTTGGGCCACTCTGCCAGCTCAGAGTTACTAGATATCAACACTAGTACTGGAGTCTTTTCATACGACAACACACCACTCACATGCAACAGGACCCCAAGTCCCTTCTCTTTTCCCAGAGAATTGGGCCACTGCCACGATGAATCCAAAAGCCCAAGTGCGAACCACCCACACTAAACTTCGAGCAGATCGGAGCCTTCATCCCGTCTACTCACTACCTACGCAGTAGACTGCTGACGTGAGTTCCACTAAACAGAGGTGACCTGATGGGTGGTGTTGTTCCCTGTCGGACTGTAAAGAGGATTCCAGGGAAAACCACTTCACCCGATCCCACCTCAAAGTCTGTGTGCCATAGACCCAACTGGTGGGCACCAAGTCAGAAGAACAGGAGTTTAGCATTACCTACTCACTGCCTGCACTTTCAAGATAACGATACTATGCTGACAAACTGCTGAGAGAGTCCGGGTGATTGTCTACAACTCTTTACCACAGATTATGTTCACCAACACAGACACGATCCCACCTGCGGGTATCGTGTCTGCCAAACACCAGTCCACATTGTGTTGCCTGCCAACTTTGTTATATGAGATTTCCCATCACATATTCATTGGCAAGAAGTGATCATCTAGAACATCCTTCCTGCCCTAGGAGTTTGTTACCTTATTCTGAGAAACTTTTTATTAGTTTTTGTCAGCCCAAAGTAGTAATTTTTTAATGCATATTTTGGCAATTTGTATTGCATAAAAATCCAAGCCCTAGTCATCAGTTATTTTACTGTCAATTCTAGATCAAGGAGTTACACCGACAAACATATTTTACAATCAGCAAGAACAGACAAATTGAAGTTTTCTTTCTGTTGCCAGTGTACTTACACTTATATCTGGAGTTTATCATGAAGTGCAAGAAAAAAGCTGCACAAGATTACATTATTCATGTAAGAATATACAGTTGTAAAAAAAACTTCAAAATATAAGTTGCAGTGCTTTATTTTTGTAGCAGGTTACAATTTCTTAATTAGGTGCACATAGGGGCAGCTAAATTCAAATGCAACAACCTCAGAAGACTTACAAAAAGCATTTACTGCTTAACATCACAATTATCAGGGTCCTTCGACAACAAAGGAACAGGCGAGAATATCTTAACATACTCAGTTGCCTATATTTTTGAAGTATCTTAGCCTCAAATTCATTCAAAATGCCTTTAAAAACCAAACTCATTTCTTCAGTAATTTTAGTATTACATTCTGTAACAAAAGCATCAGTAAGTTCACTTATTTGTGTGCCTTGATCGACAAGGAGTTTACGAAGAACACTGTTTCCATTGAGCATGTCAACTTGTAACCATACAACTGGTCCCTAAACAGCACTGATCAAAGGAGAGTGGAAGAGTTCAAGAGGCCAATGTGGTGAAAAACAATTACTTTACTACCCGCAAGAATCAGCACTCCAAAAATGAATTCTGTTATGAAACACTCAATAAATTCTAGATTAAAAATGTATTAAACAGAGCTGCTTCTTTCCCTGTTAAATTACATCTATAAATCTGCACAATCAACAATAACCTTTGTATTTACTATGCAGAGTAACTTTTCCAAGACAATTCTTTATATTCAACATTTCCTATATCCTTCCAGAAAATTCCAAAGCTCCGCAAACACTTTTAGCCTACCCCATTGATTATTTCATTCAAAGGACATTTCTTTTCTGGTTTATTCATGGTTTCATCCAAACGATACCTTAATACATACTTTTCCACAATACTCTTCCTGTTCCCCTCAGAGCAGTCCTGCTAACACATTACTAAATTTGTCCCTCAGCAAGCAATGGAAACAGCAAATTTAAAAAAAATTCTATCTCGCAGAGTGAGTGAATCCTCCTTACACTGCAGAATACATACATACCCACAAGCTCTTTTATAAAACAATTAATCTACAGAATAAGTCAGTTACAGGCAGATAAAAACAATGAAATTGATGTGAAATTACAACCAGTATACACAATTCCTGATGTAGAATTTTTTATGATAAGAAAATATTTTCATGGCATGTAAAACAACATGAAACTTTAATCATTCTGAATCAGAAGTATAAACATATTTACAAGTCAAATGAATATTAAAATGTAGTGACAGTTTCATTATTTTATGCAACTCAACTGTTCACATCATTTTCATTAATCAATAAATTTTCAAATACTTATAAGTCTGCCAGAATTATGTCACAGAAAAGACCCAGATGAAGTTGTTTTATAATTAAGTTGAAAGAATAAATAAACCAGAATTTTGTTTCAAAACCACATAATATAAAGCTGCTTGGTAGAATTTGACACATTTGAAGAAATACTGAATAATGTTATCATCTACAGTACAAAGAGAACTGATGCAAAAAATAATAATGAATCTGTTAGGGGGTTAGTTAGGCAAATCTGTCTATTCACATTTGTCAGTATATCCTTCATGTATTTTACTCTTTTACCACAATAGACACACAAGGTTGATTACAACACACACTAAGTGAATACATAGTACATTCGAATCACTGAACACCCTGTTCTGAAGATGACTGTGGAAACAAAGAAAGGTTGAGACTCCTTGTTAAGTGTTCAATGAATTTAGCTACAACCCAAGGCCAATACGCATAATACTTCCGTAATAAAAGTTTTGATTTGAAAAATACATACATATAATCTTACTTCAGTCTTACATTTATTGACCGATTCTCTTTAATCGTATTGTACCAACTACACACACTGATCAAATCAAATCCTACCAAGCTAAAGAACAAGTAGATTCATTTTCATGACAGACAAAAATACCAATTTTTTGGTATCTACACAAATATGATTTTTTGTTCTTTTTGTTCAACGTAGCAATTCTGGAGCACATGGAATCCAGAGATGCACACTACATCACTAATTAAATAAAATCACTTCATTGCACAGCCAGATGAAAAACTTTTCACTGCTAAGTCAAACAGAGCCTATGCCAATTTACACATGCATGCATTCATTAAATGAAAGCAGAAAAAAATTATTTAAAAAAACACAAACAAAAACAAATGAAGGAACTTCGCTTTGTTCTAAAGTAAATACACATATAAAAGAATAAACTCGCAGGAAAAAATCAAAAAATTAAATCCCTTGTCAATGCAGAAAAATAATCCAAAAAATAACTACCTTCTGGCAGTTTCGTGTACCTGCTGACATATCTACTTCTTACGTTTACCTTTACGCCGATGCCTTGTTTGGTCGCTCCTGACTCCAGGACCATCTCCACTCCCATTTCCACCAGAGTGATTGTAAAGGTTGTTGAGGAAGTCCTCTAAATCAGGTTCCCTGCATTTGTAACAAACACAAAAACAAAATGAATGGCAAACAAAACTATTTTAATGTTTTTAGTTCAGAATTTTCTTTTTATCATTATTTTTATAATAATACATAATAATAATAAATAATAATAATAATAATTATTATTATTATTATTATTATTATTATTCTTTTTCTTTTTTCCCTCTTTTAACTGCAGAAAATTATGTCTGAATTCATCAATTCTTTTACTTGACAGTTGAAAGAACTTGTGTGCCATTCAAATATAGTTTGACCTTCAAAAATTATGTTATTGATAAGCCGGTTTATTCAGATTTCCAGCATGGACATATTTCAATAATACAGTAGTTTGAGAAACAGTTTAATTCAGTTGATCCCAAATATCTGTTGAACTTTTAGAATGTTGATCATTTTCCATCCCAATGGAACATTAGTAAAATTATTCCACTTCTAAAATCTGGTAATAGGCTTGACGTGAGCAATTATCTACTGGAAGCCACTCTGAGAGCCATTCCAAAGCTTTGAAAAAATTGTGGCAGACTACTTCTCATCTCTTTTATGTGATGTTATATCAATGAAACAACATGGTTTTGTGAAGTTATGAAAACTGAAGAACTACACTTGTGAACAGCTTGAAAGGAGTGCCAAGGTGGACAGAGTCTACATGGATTTCAGCAAGGCTTTCGATGAGGTTAACCAGGAGTCCAGGATCCAAATCTCAAAATTGCTGAACCTGAGTGTTTTTAATTCCACGTTAGACCAGTTACATAGTTATCTGCACAAATGTTACCAATTTGTTCAGATAAGACAAACCCCCCAACCTCTTCAAGGGCTTTCACATAGGACCACTTCTTTTTACCGTTATCATTGACAATTTAACGAATGTAATTGGTAATGTTAATATTTTATGACTTGTGAATGATGAAAAACTCTATTTTGGCATTTCTACCGAGCAGTGTGCTCTTCAATTACGGCTGGATGTTGACAACCTCCTTCATAGGTGCCAGCTGAACAGCATGGTTCTCAAGACTAACGCAAAACAAGTACTTTTTCAAGTAAGGATCTAATACTTTCTGACAATACTATTGATGGCATCCCATTAATGAAGTTGAATGTTATTTGTTACCTTGGTATTATTTTCGATTATAATAAAAAACAATACAAAAAAATCTTTCGAGAATTACATTGATACTATTATGGCTAACACAATGCAAGTGTAGGGTTACATACAAAGGGTGGCCATGGATTTCAAGCAAATATCAACTACTTCCAATAGTTGATTATTTAATACCTTGGCGAGACAGTCTTGGAACATGTTACCATTATCTAGACCCCATGTAAGAGAATAAGACGAAGTTAAATAAGACGCAGCACAAATTCACTCAACTTTTAACACTAAAATTTGGTGACTGTGTGTACAGATTTTCCTACGATTACAAACCATTTTAAATTAAATTTAAATATGTAAGAACAAAGATATAACTTCAAAGATATACTTTTCTTTTAAGCTTTTAATCGTGTCAACTGTCTTTAACTTTTCACAAAAATCAACCATAAAATGCCCTATGGAAACTTTTGCCCAACTGGTCTATTTAGTGCTGCTTCATTCTCCAAAAACTACCTAGTTAATAACAGCTTCAGTCGCATAACAAAAAATGCGAATATGATCGAAAAGTCAATTGACTTTCACAATCATTGATTAAACAGTTTCAGAAGAAGACTAAAACCTTGGATGTGATCAGTGAGAGAATTCGTATCACCTATGTTACACAGTTGTGATTTACGTTTGATAATGCTGCATTTGTGAGTTTATCCATTTCTTTCCTCTTCAATCTTTAATGACACCAAACATACCACCATACGAGTCATATGATGATTCTAACCATATTTGTGAATTACTAAAATCTACATATTTAGATATTTAGAATATTTTTTAAAAACATTTTCTGACTTATATTTTGTATGTTGCATTGTTAAATGTGTTATGATAGAAAGATTTATATTGTATTTTTAATCAATCATAAAGGAAATAAATAACCTTTCATCTAAATAGCACTATGCTATTGTATATTTCTCTCACATGTGACAAATAATTTTTTAACTTCATGTATTGTTTCCTCTTCGTGCCACACTTTATAAAACAAACTTTGTATACTTTGTACATGACGCATTTTAAAAAGGGAAGGAACAACACTGCATTCTTTTTTAAAAACAATCATTGCCAACTGGGCTCTTTATTACCTGGCACTAGGTTGAGATCGGCGATGACCGCCCGCTGCACTACCCCCTCCACCAGTCCCTCCGCGTCGATGATGGTGGGTGGGTGGTGTCTGATGATTGTTGGAAGACTGGCTTTGACGTCCCAACACAATGCGGTACTGTACACTATGAGTGTTAGCCCTCAAGTGACGCAGATTGTCAGCTTGACAGGCTGCCCACTCTGTGATGTCATAGACTGCTCCATCCATGCAGGCATAATAGTGCCACAGGAAGCCCAGCATTGAGCTTTCAGCCCATATGTCACCCTGAAGAGAGAAGCATCGTAATCGTGGAATAGTCACTGAAGTACAAATTGCACTTTAACTTAATAATAATGCCCTCTTCAAAAAGTATGATAATCTCTATGAAACATATTTCTGCAAACAGAAACAGCCAAGAGAACACAAGAAAGTATCTTAAAGCATTAAATAGAAGGTGAGAATGCAATCTTCTTTGCATTGTCATTCAATAAAATTCTGGCACTACCTATTTCACGTCTACTATTCACAGGTCAAAATCCATTGTAAATTGCATTAATCAATGCAATAGTAATTAAAATGAAAAAACAAGCTGAAGGTTTGAGATGTGATGATGAAACGTTTTCATGTCAATTCCTTAGTGCGATTCCAAAATTAATATAAGGAAGTGGAACTATCTGATTTACATACCTCCCGAGCAGCATGATGTATTTTGCATTGACTACACATCCGAGCAGCATAACATGGTCTATCCACACTGATGCGACGATGTCGCTTACCACAATTGGTACACCTGTGCACAAAAAAGCACTTCAAATGTCAATAATATCAATAAATTCTGCATAGTATTACTGCAATTAGAGTTGACATAATTCATATTTATATTTATAAATTACATATGTGAATAACTTTTGTACCCAACAATTATTTTAATACTAAAAGAAGTGTATTTAACAGTACCTACAAAGACATACCCAGATATCTCAATGGTAATATTAATTAAAGTAACATGGAATAGTGACTCAGTCTGAAGTATTGGTACCCGGCTGTGAAAATAAAAGAGTAGTTACTATATTTACACAAAAAGCATTGGGGAGCCATAATGGATATGGAGGTATTAAATGCAGATATTGAGATGTAAATAGAACGTACTGAATATCCCAATGTTGGACATAGTCTAACGTGAAATTGAAATAGTTGTGCTGCACCAACACATACTTTCTCATATTATTTGTAACTTTTAGTAATTTTCAAAAAGTTCCGAAAATGGAACCTACATCATTTTTTAAGGTGTTATTTGTTCTTATCAAGAAAAAAATTATGAGAAGATTTGGAGAAATTTCTGATATTTCTTTAAATTCCCGCTATTTTATGAAAATAACCTGACAAATATCATATTTACACAAAATTGTATACCATCTTAATTAAAGATATTTCTTTGAAGAACAGATTTCATTAAACACTCTACTGCTCTGATATGTTGTACAGTCAGAAACCAAATATGGTGGGTCCTCGATACCGAAAAATTGATTAACTGCAAAAAGTCTGCCAGCCTGCGTGTCTATGAATGATATTAGTGGCTAAATTGTAAACAGTATTTTCACCAAAATTGATATTCCCCAATTAATCGGACTAATATCAGGCCCCTTGAATTTGAAATTGAAATTTTGATTTTGGGTGGCATTTTACAGGAAGCCTCAATGTTTTCAAAATTTTCTCAAAATGGTTTAATTTTTTTCTTCCCATTTTCTCCTCTGATAGACAGAAACCGCCCCCAAAATGGCGTTGATCATATTCTTGTCTATCTCCTGAATTTTTTGAAAATTGCAAAAGTTCAAACGTTATTTGGCCTCTTCCTAAAACTAGAATAATGATTATGAAAATGTTTTCTTTTATGAAAACTGTACATCAAAAACAGATAACGAATAAGGTCAAGCTCAATTTTTCAAAAATAGAGTAATTTTTGCATGAAACAAAGGCAAATTTAAACATCTTTTCTTAATAGCTCCAAATGTTTTTTTTTATTTTTTTTCTTTGAATATAGCAAAGAACAGCAGGCAGAACAAAGAGGGGCTGGTCCTATTTTTGGTAAAGATCTGCATAATTACACAAAATTAAATACCTGAATACAGAATTCAACAAAAAAATTCTGTGGGCCCCTCTACGAGAATGTAAACCTTCTAACTTATTCGTCACCTAAGTCATTATTAGGTAAAGGATTTTAAGGTGTGGCTTCTTTTCAAAAATATAGCTGCTTTCATACTGATAGTTTAATATATGTACTTGGGGTGATGAAACAAAGTGAAATAAACTCGTGCTGATACACTTTTTTGCACTTTTTCATGAGATTACAACATTTTGCAACCTTTTCCCTCTTTTGCAATTGCTTCAGCACTTTTTTCTCCATTCTTTTCTGTGTTTCTAAACGATTGGACAGAAAAATGTATTTTTTCTCTCCTTGAACAGCTTTTTAAAATCTCATGTAATCAGAAGTCAACAATATTAAATAAATACTAAAATATCTTTTACATAAACCACCAGTAATTTATATCCCACCAACAATGGGCAATATCCAATTGTGAAGTCAAATTAAAATCTCAATCCCAGTGGATTCAAACTGCTGCCCAGACAAGCAAATCAGGCCATTTAAATGAGTGTGCAGAAATCCACTTGTCTGATCTGAAGAAAATGTTTAGCCTTGCCATCTTGTCACTATCTAACTAAAAGAGCACTGGCAGTGCTTGTGGATTTGCAGATGAAAGGAGAGGGGAG